GTTATCTGTGGGTGGTGACAAGAGGTCTCTCATTTGTGCGTCTTTCAGTCCTTCTGCCCACTGCACGTCCAGAGTTCGGAGTAAAGGACAACTGGAACTACAAAGTGCCGACACTGCTATCCATGAGCACCCTGATAACAGCAGGTCTCGAAGACCTGCAGATACAGAAGAGGTTGGAGCACGTGGCCTACCCAGAGAGACGTCCGCGGTGATCTCTGCTGCCAGGCGCAGGTCGGGTGAGGCCCAAGTGCTGCTCTGAGGAACAATCCCAGCGCTCCAGGGTGAGCAGGGACCCCGTCAGCCTCCTCCTGCCCAGCTCCCACCACCTGGAGCTTCATTACTGTGGGTGAGAGCAGACCCCCCCCACCCACTCCGCTAATCACATCAGCACTTCCCAGAGCAGCGTGACCTGTTGACAAAGATCTGCCTCAAATTAATTTACCCAGCATAACAACTAGTGATAATTTAACTAATTTGGGGCCCACTTCAACCCCCTGATGCTTCATTCCTACGTATCTACTCCTCTCCTAGGACACCCAGATCCCTGCAGACTTCCCTCAGAGATTGCAGTTTAGATACAAACTGGTTTGCTAAATTCAGTGCAGGGGTCAAACCCCATCACTTACCTGGCAGTCTGTTGATAAGCCAACTCAGCTGCTTTTTAGAGATATTTGTCCAGCTAAGATCAAGGGTTACAGGCTGTCTCCTAATAATGCCACTAAGCATAAGTGGAGTGATGGATTTACAATGGTTTAAATCTATTTTGGTCCATAGTCTTTTGTCACAGCACCTACCCAAAAAGAAGAAAAGCCAACAGCACTTTATTTGGCACTTGTTTTGATTTCTGCAAGACTTTGAAAGGTGTCATTAAATAATAAGGAAAACTACAGCATTTAACCAAAAATAGCAAAAATAAGGCTGAGCGACGCTCAGATGAGCACAACACCACCCAAAGTCACACAGGTTTGAAGTTTCTCCAGCAAATACGTCATGCAATAAAGTATGGAATTGTTTCCACAGAATTACAAGTGTCAACAACTTCGGATCCCACTTTAAGTCACCACAGCACTTCCTAAAATCCATGTTCTAGCCTGAAGAGAAGCCACACCTCCTCGCTTACCTTCCGAACACAAAGACTGGTTTTAAAGGTAACTGTCCTGATTCCCCAGTGCTCTGCTTACTTCAAACCAGGGATTTCTGTCAAACAGCTCCCCCCTCTCCTGTTCTTTCCTGTTATTCCTGCCTGATGCAGCCCCTGCACTTTGATGCTCTTTGTGGCTCTTTAAGGGCAACAAGTCCTAACGAGCGTGCAAGATTCTGCATTCTCTCATTTTTCTACTCTAAAATACTTGCACTTGCATGGAAAAGGCATTTACCAGCCTTCTGTGACACCGAGAAGCCCACGGAGGAGGCACCCCACACACACCTTCTCACACTGAATTATCAACCTCCCAAGCTTTCTGTCATCGCCCCGTTTGTCACTAGACTCTGTGTGGAAGGAGCTGAGCGAGATCTGCCCGTCTGGGCACACACGACAGTCGGATCCGAGATGACGGCCAACGACAGACTCTACTGCAAGTTCCAACACTGAAATCTGTCCACTAAGGCTTCCTGCTGCCTCACAGGCACCGACTGTGTCAGTGTTCACACTCAACAGACACTGTGAGGAAATACAATTAACCAAGGATTCCTCCCCCCATCAGCTCTGCCGGCGCAGAACACGGCCAGTGGAATCGCTCTCCATGTACCCTCTGCTGGGAAACAACCAGCACGGACCTTCTGAGAACACCGAGGCACTGGAGATGTTCACTCTGTCTCCACAGATATTTAATAGCTGAACTGAACAAACTGCATTAGCAGTCAGCAAGTCCTGGGGGCAGAATGACACCGAGACTCAGCATGACCCGGGCTGGCTGTTCCCCAGGCGAGAACATTGTGGTGTCCAGCACCAGAGTGGGTGGCTCTGGGTGTCACAGCCCTGGCAGGCTGATGCCGGTGCTGACACACACACAGAGCTCACAGAATCACAGGATGTTGGGGATTGGAAGGGACCTCGAAAGATCATCCAGTCCAATCTCCCTGCCAGAGCAGGAACCTAAATGAGATCACACAGGAAGGTGTCCAGGCAGGTTTTGAATGTCTCCAGAGATGGAGACTCCACAACCTCTCTGGCAGCCTGTCCCAGGGCTCTGTCACCCATGCTGGGAACTGCCATTTCTAAGAAAGCACCAGGAGACACGTGCTATTTCTCTACACACTGCTGGTCACCCCTTCTCCTTGGGCTCAAAGAGAACAGTGATGACCTGCACATCTCTTCTAGGAGACATTAGTGCCTCTGTCACCCAAATCCAAGTCCCTCCCGCTACCTGTCAGACCCAGCTCGGTTTCCCACCCTCCTTACCATCTGTTCCAGGTCTTGCAAACTCTCATACAGATGCACAAGTCTCTATGACTGAGGTAGCTAAAGACAGCCATCCAGACTTCCCTCTGCATCACGTGGGCTGCCCCGTCATCCAGGGGGAGCGAGTCCGGAGGGGGGCTGATGGGAGGTGGCCGGATAACGTGCCGTTCCATCTGAATGCATTTGGGAGGAGAGAGCGAAGGCGGAGGGCGGGTTATTCCCCGAGGTGTGCTTCGCAGGCTGGGGATGAGCTGGTGCCTCAGCTCCCGGGGGGTCCCGTTCAACCCTTTGCTGAACCTGTGGAGTCTCTCGCTGTTGTTCAGAGCACGTTTGGGTTCCTCGTTCTCGCTCTCAGGTTCAGATTTGATGGGTTGGTGATTCTCATTGGCAAGGCTGTTCTCGGTTTTTTGGATCTCCTGGTTGAGCTCCTTGCTGAGCTCCTTACTCAGTTCCTTATTGGGAAGCCGCCTTTTCCGCCTCATCTTGAACTTCTTCTTGTCCCTGGGCTCGGCGCCCTCCGTGCTGGGACCTGCAGTGGGCGAGCTGGACCGTGACTGGTCACTATCCTTGGACCTGGGAGGTGCTTCTGGCAGGTCATCCTCTGGCTCCTGCTTCAGGCGCCGCAGGGGTTTGATCATGGCAGTTCGGTCATCCGGAGCCTTCCACGATCGCCGCTGGAAAGGAAGAGACAAGGGCTGACTATTTGAGCAAGAACACACTCAGCAATCCTTCCCATGCTGATGCTCCACACAGGCAGCCCTGCCCGGGGGGGTCGGGCTGCCTGCCAGCACTGCGCCCCACCCATCTGAGCACCAGGGCACATTCACCGGCCAAAGGTATCGAGTTCAAGTGCCATCACATGGATGAGGAGTCAAGCTATTGGCTCTCTGGACTCCAAGAGAGTGATAAATGCATTTATTCACCATGCATAATCCTGCAGATTTAAGGGCCTTACTCATTACACAGCGGACAATTTATATACAGAAGATCAGCAGCATTCTATAGACACTTTTTCACCAGCAGGCCAGAAGAAACCAGGCTTTGGACACGTTCTCTGGGTAAAGAACCCACTTCAAACACCGCTGACAAGCACTTGTGCCCAACGGCCAGAAGGTCAATTTCTGAAGCCTCCTGAATTGCCACCACTGTGGCTGTGTCCCCAATTGCTGGATACTCACAGCCTCGTTTAATTATATTTTAGCTGCTCCTTCACATCCTGCTAAACTCTGCTCATCTTCTCAAGCTTCCTCCACCTCCGGTACATGCAGAACAGGGAATGTGACAGGCTGGACACACTGCCACCCTGACGAGACCTCACGCTGACACTATCTCCAATGCAATGCAGGCTGACAGGGGTTAGCTGGCACCTTCTTCCCTGCCCCGGTCACTGTTCAGAACAGCAAACTGCACTTCACTTGCTCACAACCATCAAATCTGTCTTTGATGCACAGCACATAGAAGCACAAGAAACGTACAAGCTAAGATGAGGGAAGACTTCAAGTCTAATCTGATCACTACAAGCGAGAAAGAAGCCACCAACTGTTAGAATGAAACAGCTCTACCAAGAAGAGATCTGAACTGGCAAGAAAAGGTGAACTGCTACGGAGACGCTTCTTACATCAGGTCTGTGCTTTCACGATAAACTAATTGGATCAAGCCAGTGGATGTGCTCCTGCGCTTCAGACTGCGGCGCACAGCGGAGAACACTGATCACCCTGTCTTTAAATTAACATGTTCTAAAGGCAGAGGTCACAGTAAGATAATGATAGGTTAGAATTAAAAAAAATGACAGCATCAGACTGATCAGCTGGCAGCATCCTGCACACAGGGCACTGGCAAGTGCTTAGTTTGAAGGTATCTGACTTCTGTTCTCATGCCAGATTGTGAGAGAGAATCGGTACCTGTGTGCCAGGTCACCCCCGGCTCCCTGGGGCGTCGGCAGGGACTCGAGGGATGTGCTGTGGTACCGGCTGCTGAGGGGCTGCGGGGCAGCAGCAAGAATCAACCACACAGGAAGAGTGAAACACCAGTACGAAACAGAACTTTATTCCTTGGGTCAGACAGCCTGGTGCTGTATTCTGATACAGGACACCAGAACAGACAAATGTAAAACCAGACACTGCAGCTAAACTGTCCTGGAGTGTAAAGGTTTGCACGAGAGAGAGATGCCGTAATTTCAAGATGTAAATGGGACAATAAAAATGCCTGCAGTGACAGAAGGATGTGACTGATAGAGAAACTGGCTCACCATTCAGCTCACATGAGGAGAGGGGATTAAAAGGGACTGAGAAGACATCTATTAAAAAGGGAAAGTACCTTCTTCCTCAAGAGTTTGTCTTCTTTTCCAAGTTTTAGCTGTTGGAAGAAAGAAAAGTAAAAACCCCCAAACATGACATTTGTTGTGCTGCCTGATGAAGGCCTGGTGATCCACAGTGCCTCCCTCACACACTGTGGGGCTTTCATGGAGCAATTCAAGCCATCCATCAACACTGCAGTGAGTCCACTGGGAGGGGAAGGAAAGCACGGCCAGAAGGCAGATCTGCATTAACTGGTATCGTGGATTCTGCTCTCTCATTCTGCCAAAGCAACCCCAACCCTGACACTTACAGTAACTGCTCCCATCTCACGGGGCAGACTGACTGCTGCTCCTCCTGAGCTACACACACAATACAGAACCAGCCACTGATTCTGATTTTAGAGCTGTCAGCCATTTCCTCATGAGACACATTAAATCCAGGTCCTCATTCCTACCTCTGCAAACCACCGTTTCTGTATATCCCAAGCCCCGTATTTTGCAATCCATGTGACGATTCAGAATGTCCCTGCCTGGCCCAAGAGCTCTGACCTAAACTCAGGGAAAAGCTGTCTACACTGCTGTTGTGAGCAGCTCCTCCTCTCTGCAGGCTGCAGGAGGTGTCACTTGTAAAGGTCCTCTGATGGGTTATGGGTACGGTACATCCCTGAACAGCCACAGAACATGCTGCCCTGCGCCACCAAGTGGATAAAGATGAAAAATTTCCATTAAAAATTGATTTTCACCGTGTTCCTACTCCAAGCATCTTGTAAGGACTTTCCAGTTAAAGTGGGTTTTCAGGTTTGTTTGTTTTTGTTTTTTTTTTAAAAATAAAACAACAGCCATAGCCCAGTGTTTTCAGCCTCTGAACGTCAACTCAAGTGCCACTGTTCAAACTACTGTCCTGCTAGACTAGCAGTTTTCAGAAAGGAAGGTAAAACATTGCAGTTTCTTTTGTAACAATCTGGGATTTCAAGGTGAGCTATAAGCCAGATGGCAAGAGACATCAGCCCCAACCAGCCCACACGCATCTGTGTAAGCACATGAAAAGAGTGTTTTGTCCTACCCGCTTTCTCATGGTGGGTTCCTGGGGTTTCTCAAATTTCCTTTTCCTCCACAGATGCACTTCGTCTGACTTTCTCCTCAGTATTGAGTCAACTTGGGTCTTTTTGGAATGTTCCTCTGATTTCCGCCTGGGACTTTCTTCACAATCCCCTTTCCGTTTTGCAGCATCTGTTACTTCCTTATTGTCTCTGTTCATTTTCTGTTCCTTCAGCAACGAGCCTGGGAGATTTGATGCGTATTTGAATCCTGGTCCGCGCTTTTGCTTGTACGCCAAGGAGACACAAAACACAAACAAACTTTATATCTTATGCCTTTCTCAGCTCTTTATCTAAGTTGTCTCCAGCATCGGTGGGCTGATCACTTTGTTACAGACAAAATGATTAGCAAGGAGTTAAGAGGAAAGCAGTTTCAACCTTCATAAAGTTATTTTTGTAACTACACAGTTGCAAGCGTCTGTCTCAGTTTGCAAAGAAGTTTCACTAATTCCAACAGGTTTTGCATAATTGCTTCTGGATTTTGTCTTTTTAAAAAAAGTATTTTCATCTTAGAAATTAGCATGCAGCAGTGCTCAGAACTAACCTAAATATTCCCCAGGTTCTGGGTGAAGTGTTGGTACATGGAACAAGAATATAGAAATTATTAAATAATAGAAAATCATCAGCTTATTTCCTTCAACTCAACTGAATTAAACACAAAATCAAAAGCTGGTATTGGGCAAAATTATATCTACAAGCCAGAGGGAATGCCTGAAATTTTGTATCTCATTCCAGCATCTCTTATTCCCATTTAACTCACTTTTCCAGTTTTCCCTGCATGGTTGCACTTTGGACACTCCCAGCAGTTCGGCAGCTCGTCGTTAACCACACCATCCGATTCCTTCACCTGGCAAGAGAGAGGCACAGCTCAATTCACAACCGCGCTGCAAAAAGCTGCACAAGTTGACAGGTAGAACATTTAGAGGCATTTTGTACAGCTCATAATTTTCTCTGATCAGCTGTTGCCCTCCCCACGCTCAGTCCTGTCCCCCCCCAGAGCGAGGCACAGCCTGATCTTTTAATAGGAAGGGATTTTTCCCATACACACGGTCTCACGTACATTAAAGCTGTTGGGCATTTTTAGAAGCAAAGCACCCTGCACTGTAATCAAGTGTTCCTTAAAATATTTGTCTTTATGGATCAGAACTAGCAGTCCCGCCCCTCCAGCCCTCAAGCCCATGTGCCAATAAAAATGATGGTTGCCAAGTCAGCTAGAGAACAGGCACTTTTATTCAGAAAACTGGACACATGAAGGCATGTTTTAAGGTTTCTCACACCCACAGTTACCCAGCTAGTGTCAGAGAGAAACGCTGACTGCTTTGCTACCTCAGAGACTGTGACATTTTGCTGTTTGAAAGAGAAGACGCGCCCTCAGTGTTGTTGCACTACAATAAAAGCACAGTCCTGCCCTACTCAGTTGAAAAGCTGCTGGTTTCTGAATTTCCACATAGGAACCCTGCATTACTTTCCAAACAGGAGATAGGTGTTTCTGAAAAGACATTTCTGTGAATGAAACTGAGGATGAAAAGTAGAGCTAAGTTAAAAACACCCTCCACACAAACACACACGCTTCCTGATGGCACACTCATGTTTAAGGGCTTAGTTATATAGCCAAAAAAAGCCTTGGGTGGGGGGAGACTAATTCATTACTATGGTAGACAACAAAAAACATGCTACTGTCAAGACAAATAGCTCGGCACTGGCATCAGCAGCACTGTAGGCAACTGCTGCTGAAACAGGCAGGGGCAGAGATCTGCAGATTTTTCATGTTTCTGATACATTTCCTCCTCTCCTCCCAGCTCAGTGAAAACATACTAGCTGTGCAGGATCAAGCCCTGGTTTTAGGGGAACTGCTTCCTCGAGTCCCCGAGCCAGACAGCAGCCATTCTAGTTTCACCATCTAGCTAGAGTGATGACATGTCAGTCTCTCTCTCTCAACAAGTCTTCTGGAGTTAATAAATGAGTAAATGAAGTGGGCAGAATTTAAATACTGGTTTTATCACAACTGTGTGCCTTTGAACCTTCTTTCCCATGGTAGGTGTAAGATACTCCAGGAGTTGTTGTATACATCTCTGCCTCAGGGGAACAATTCCTGGCTCAAGACCAAGTTGGGAACAAGTTATTTCCCGCACTGAATATAGAACAAATGCTACTGAAGAGAAAGCATTACAGCTCTGTCCTTTCTGTGAAGTTTAAGGAACTGAACAGATGTGAGGAACTGTAAGCAAACTAATTACACACACACAAACCTGCCACTGAATCTGTCCCAAGCCTTTCAGGCTGGGTGGGAGCCAGTTTGGAGTGTTTGCTACAAACAGCAGGTGGGTGTCTGAGCCACAGCGTGAGGCATCTTCAGAAACATACCTGCAGCACGAGGTCAGCGCCTCAGAAAGTCTAAACATGAGACTACGTTACTGTGAAGTCTTCTTGTTAAGGAACACGGAGACCCCAGGATGCTGATCTGACATGGCTGAGTGAGAGCTGTGAATTCTGGCAGTGCCAAGACTGAAACAACACAGGCAGCGAGACACACCTGGGCTGAAGCCATGGGCAGCAGTGCAGCTGTGCTGGAAAAGCTCTTTGTATTTCTGCTCTTCTGATAAGGCACCTAAATATTCACCTTTTCCATCATTATCACTATATCCACTTAGGATGAAAAAGAACAGGCTCCTGCTAGGGAAAATGAATCTCTTCTCCTTAAGGAAACAGCATCAGACCCTGCACTCACTCACACGTGCTAACCAGCATTGCTAACAATTTCACATGTAGCAAGAGAAATTCATCAGCATCAGTTCAACTCAAACGCTCTGTAACAACAAAAGGCAATATTCCTCTGAAAGTCTCACTGGCTCCCTCTGGAAACAATGCTGAGCTTATAAAAAAAGATCTTGGTGAGCGTTTTGCAAGAAACTCTTCAACACAAGGAGCATTTGCGTTGGTATTGTATTGTCAAGGAAAGAAGCATGTCAGAAACCCTCTCCACGACACTCCTCGGTAAGCAGAACATCCTGGTTGTCCTCAGTGTGGTTCAACACAAGCACCTAATGCGCTCTGGTACCCAGGGCTCCCCCAGGAAGAGGGACACACAGAAGCTCCAGCAAGGTTTGGCGTGTGACAGAGCCCAGATGCACCTGAGCCACCATTAATCCCCTCAAAGAGGCCATCCTCTGACACTGCTTTTGCACAGAGAAAACCCACCACAAAAATTCTCATTTTTTTCACGGAGAAAACCCACAGCCAAATCAGGAAGGATGGACTTCAAAGCAGGAACAACCTGTCCTGGAGTACAAATTACCCAGTGCATGTGCCAAACTACTCCACAAGCTTTGGAGATGTGTCTTGGAGGGAATTCACTCCACATGGGAATAAGCCAGGAAAGGACACTCCTTCCTTCACTGATCCAGTTTATTCCAGTCTCCCACAACAGTACATTTGTCAGACATTCAATTGGAGATGACCAAGAGTTCATGGGTATCGCTGCCTGTCTATGGAGCAGGTCAGGAAGGGACTTGCTCTTGGTGGACAGCCCAGGCAGCTGCCCTGGGGCTGTGGCTGCATTCAAAGGCACTTCCCACAAGGACTATTTATGGGTTCCATTCTCTGGGCTTAAGACCATGTCAAGGGCTCAAGCAACATGTAAACACAGCAGCAGATTTTTCTCCTGAAGAAAACCATGGAGCTTGGGAATAAGGAGCAGGGAGGGATCCAAGGAAGAGGCTCCATTTACCTTCCGCTGTTCCCCTGTGCATTGTCTCATCTCACCTTCCAAGATGACTCTGAAATCCTACCAGTGCCCTTTTGTCTCAGTAAATAAACAGTACGAGTTACCCCACCATTTCAGCTCAACAGAAATATTGAGAAATTAAAATACAAGGCACACTGTAAATCTCCCACTGCTTAATTTTCAGCAATACCCAAAGCAACATTGTTCCTAGTTACCAAAACAGCACTCAGAACACCACACACGCATAAAAGAACAAACAGCACTTGCTTGGTTTCACAGATCTGACCCACATCCTGTGCAGCTAGTCCCAAATGTGGTGTGGGGAGAGGAAATCATACTTGAACTGCCACCAGACAACCATCGTGTCCTCTGGCCTCAGCCATGAAGTGTCACTGACACTGCAGGGCACAAGATGGGGGAGCACGGGGCACTTTCAGGAAGGATTGGAATAGCAAAGCAGGAGCCAAAACTGAGGCACCTCTGAAACCAGCAGCTCCTTCCCCTGCTTCATCAGCCCCCAAAGCCTTGTTTTAAAGCAGAGCCAAGCAAGCAAAGCTGCGTTTCAGAACCCATCTGTGGCAGGAGTTGTGAGCACCAATTTCATGAATGAGGGAGACAGGCACAGCTCTGGTTTGCCAGCTCCCTCCTTTCTGCTCTGGTAAGTGCCACATACGTAGCTCGGTGCAACCCAATGTACAGCACAAGAAAAATAAAAGGCTGGGAGAGCATCACCCCAGGCCTGCATAAGGAACATACCTCTCCTCCCAGAGATCCCAGAAGGGCCAAAAGCTGCTTTCTGGGTCATGGTGTGTCAGAATACATTTGCTTTAGCAAATCACTTTAACCATAAACAAATCGGCAACAGGAAATGGCTGATCAGCTGAAACAAACCAGCTCTGGAGAAAAGGAGGTTTCTAAATGCTAATCCACAAAGATGTGCCCAAAATGACACTTTTGTTACCAGCAAAGGATGTAGCTGCTCACAGGACCCAAGTCAGCCAAGGGTGAGCACTCCTGCAGCCTGAAACTCGCTCAGTGTGCTCTCTAGCACCGAGCCTTCCTACTGCAACATTTGGTCACAACACCTTTAAATCCAGCTGCCGCAGAAAGGCACATCTGTGCCTGGACCAACACAAACAGCAAACTACTCATTTGGACTTTGTGGGACACAGGAAGGAGCTACCAAAACAGGGATTATGACTAACTCATCCAAAAGCACAGGTAGATTTCTCTGTCCTCTTGAGCTTCCTGTCCCAACTGAAACTCCTCACTTCCTTAACACAAGAGGCAAAAAAAGAAAATCAAAACAAAAACAAAACTCACAAGACATTTGCATGCACACACGTTTCAGAGGCTGTCCAAAGCAAGAGGCTCTGCTTACAGGGGATGCTTACAACAAAGGAACTCTGCCTGCCAGTCAGGGCTGCGTGTGCCACAGCCGTCATCCCACTTCTCTTTGCTCTCTTAAGTTTCCAAAGATGAAAATGTGAAAGCTTTCCCATTTCTGTGCACTACTTTTATGTTAAGGTGATAACTAATCCAGTTTTTTGTTTCTGACAAGTATCACATCCTTGTACTCACCTTAAGGCATCCTGGGTGTATGATTTCATTACAAATGGAGCATTCCATTAGCATGAGATTAAACTTGCTCTCCTCCTCTTCCACAGTGTCCTCCTTCCCAGCTTCTCCGCACACCAGACACACAGCAGTATGAGGCAATACCGGCTGTTTATATAGCAGAAAAAAGTCTTGATCAGGACACAGAAGACATATAGAAACAGATGAACTCAGTGTGCATTTACAGTATCCTCATTTCAAAGAGGAGATAAATAGGGATTAATTGTGCAAACTGCTGAAGGCTCCAGCCCGGCAGAGCAACGAAGGCAAGAAAAACTGGTAACAATCAGGGCTGGGTACCCAGAGCAAGCAGCACAGGATGTGTTTCATGGCATGAAAGTGCCCTCCCTGTAGCAACACAGATCCGTGGGGCATCCCAGGGACAGGTGGAAATGCTTTTTTTGTGGGTCCCTTGAATCTGTGAGCTGACACAGACACTGGCATGCACGTCACTTCACTACTGTACAATGGGAGGGAAAGAAGAGACCTAGAACATCACCATTCACATCCATTAAGCTTCACAATCTGACTAGCAATTTGGCAGCTCCCCTATTTTACAAGCAGGGCAGACAGATGTCCTGGGACCCACTCCAGGTCTCACAGCAAGCCCTCAACAGAACCAAGAGCAGACCTTTTCCTGACTGACAATCCATTATCTAGGGCCCTGCTCCCAGCCTGAACATTGCACAATGCACCGCGCAGACACTTGAAAGGAGGATTCCTCTCCTGCAAGTGTCACAAGCAAGAAGCACACTGATTTCTTCTGTCTTTTGCTGAGGCAGAAAAGGAACTGCAGCATGTCACACATCTGTCACCCATGTCAAAGCACTGAATGCCAGTCTAATTAAAAAGCCACCTTTGTGCTAATGAGGAACAAACTTCTGGTTTGCAGCAATAAGGTATAAGCCTCATTACAAGAGAGAAAAGGAAGATCCTCGTAAGAAGCTGGCTGTAATGTGAAATGCAATCGATTAGGTTGCAAGTCCTTCACTATTAAGCAGCCAGAGGCAGAGATGTGGCTTTTCACAGCAAGGATCTTTTGTAGATGGGGTGAATAAAATTCCCAAGTGGATACTTACACACTAAACCAAATCTACGCAGCAACAGTGCATCCTTCAGCAAGTTTCAGAGAGGGAAAAACCCAGGTAGAGTAAGTCACTGCAGAGCACAGTGTGCTGCCCCACACACCAACATCTGATGTACTAGCTACAGCAACACTTTCCTGCTTTCTCATGCCAATACTTACCCACGCTTCATTTTAAAAGCATTTTGCAAATGCTATTTAATTCCCACCCTTCCTCCAAGCATAAAATAGGAATCCCCAGGATCCCATTCCACCAGTAAGTGAACCAGAGAAAAGCTAAATTGTCCAGAGCCACAAGAGCTCTGTCCACTTGTTTTGTCCTGTCTCCCACACAACAAGTATTTATATCCACACACAAGAACAAACACCCCAGTACAATTTTTCTTGCTGGGAGCAAGGGTGTCTAGGGAATCTCCTCCGTGTCCCAACTAGCCCTGTCCCACTGACAGGCTGGAAGAGCAGCCACACTGTCACAACTCGTCATCCCAGCAGAGCCCCACGCTCCCATCAGACCTGTTCAATGCAGCATAAAGCATCCCAGACACTCCCATTTCCTTTCTCAATTGAATAGTGATGCAGAGGAGTTTCCTGTTCTCTGAACAGCAGCACAGGCTCTCTTAAGGCTTCTCAGTTTAATGAAAGTCTGTGTCTAGTTAATATTGTCAAAGTTATTAACCAGAGGAAAGCACAATCCCAGAACTGTAGGGATCATTACTTCCCCTGAGCCTCGCTTCAGTGTTTTGGGTGGGTTTTTTTTAGGCTGGAAGCTGTTGGATAGGTACCATGATATATTACTACTGCAATTGCTACACAACATAATGAACAAGAGTAAAGACAATAAGATTGCTTATCGAAATGTAAAGCACCATTAAAAGTTACAACAGTTCAAGCTGTTAATTTTCTATGCTTTTGCTGCTCTAAGGAAGTCTGTGATACTCCCTCTGCTATTTACACCCATGGGAACCTACAAAGGGCAGAGATGTCTTTTTCAGTGCATGCAAGGGTGGGACAAGCAATGCAAGTACCTCAGCTACCAAGCCATGTGCTCTCACCACAGCCCCTGGAAACAAAACTGCAGACACCAAGAAGAAAAGTACTTCTTCATTAGAAGAGAGGGGATGACAGGATGTCTACACTCAGCCAGAAGAGAACCCAGTTCACCTCCAAAAGGCTCAGTCTGTGTATCAAGAGTGAATCAGCTTAGTATGAAAGTTTCCTTCATCAGTCAGGACAAGAAAGCACGCTGCAGCCCTAATTTAATTCCTCCACTAAAAAGGCAGCACAATTTCACTATTTCTTCCCCCTAGAGAATAATAAATTCTTCATCCATGCTGTTCAATTCATGCCACACTCCAGGAAATCGAGTGTTCAAAGAAAAGACACTTGAGCTGCAAAAGCACTCTGCAGAAAGGTAGATATTCTATGTACTTTACTGAAAGATCCAGCAGAGCTGAATCCAATCCTCTACATCAAGAACAGTGCATGGCTTAGAACAGGACATGGAGTGAGCTACCAGGAGCAACTACTGGAAACCTGAAGTGCTTATCAGTTTTTTATCAGTGTCAGACCAAGTCATTTAATGCCTCCACTTCAGTCTCCTCATCAGAATTACAGGAGAAAAAAAAAAACCCTAAGTGAAAGGAACTTCAACAAGAGTTAAGAGAGAAATCAGTATAGATGGGGTGATATTTCAGTTATGAATAAACAACATTCCTTTCCTTAAAAAAAAACAAAACACAACAGAAAACCAAACCCTTAACAACAGCATAAACAAGACCTTCTAAAGAATTAAGATCAAAGCTAAATCTAATTTTTATCCTTGAACGGGGGCACAGTGGGACCTAAGGAGAAGCTCTGCAACAAGTATGAAAGCAATGGATTAAAAAGCTGCTTGGACAATTCAATGGAAGATTAATCTGTCAATATTTGTCAAATATAAAGCTATCACGACTCAAGAAGCTTCTAAGCAATGCATCACAGGAGCCCAAGAAACTCTCTTTGCCTGCCTGCTTGCCCTGTTCTGATGTTCATCCCCCAACAGCCATTTCCAGTCCCTGAGGAAGGGCAAGACCTGGGCATCAGTCTCTCTGGTATATGCCCAGGTAAGAGCAAACAAATTGAAACTGAGATCTTGAGAAGCTCAGGGCTGGGGTTACCAACACCAAAATCTTGGGAGGATGCAAGTCAAAGATTTCTCTGTATCTTAAGCTGGTTAAGTTGTTAGGATGGTAGGGATGGCTGCAAGGGAGCTTTTCTCAGGCAATTCAAAGATCCAAATCAAACAGGTCTCTCCTCCCTTTGAAACAGAACTTCCCACTCTTCCTCTTCTCCCTCAAATTCACAGAATTTCAGTGTGATTTGAGCACCAATTTCCAGTGCACTGATAATCTCCCCATCTACCTTCTGTATTACTGGGAACAAAAGTCACGCTACTAAGTTTTAGGAGCATTCTGGTTTAAGATTTGGGGGTGGGGATAGAAAGTGACAGTAAGGAGATCTGAACTGAGAGGGGAGGGATTACACTGTTTTGCCTGATACACTTTAGAGACTACTCAGAGCAGAGTTCTCAGTTCCACACCTCGTCACCAGGAGACACAGATATAGGAAAGAAACCTCCAAAGGAGCTGTAGCAACAGGGACACTTACTGCGATGCACTGCCTCATAATGCAGGACTGTTTCATCCTGCCAGGTCCCCCAAATTTCTTCATGTCTTTGCAAAAGTGACACTCGCCGCACTCTGTCCGCAGACACGCCTCGCACTTGCGGCATCGCGTCCTCCTCCGCCGTGCTCCAGCCGTTGTCCGATTAGCTGCGAGCTTCACCGCAGAAGCAGCGCCCAGCTTCCCTTTGGGCCGTCCGACTGCCCTGTTCTGAAAGAGCCAGACACACAAGGTTAATCACACAGCCTCCCACTTATGTCTAAACTACGTAACTTCCTCGGGCAGGAGTCACAGGCATCTTAGATACATTTATCAGTTTGATATCAGAATCATACGCAGATGGGTGACACTCAGCAGATGCACACAATCACTCCTGCAGCTAAAGGAGTTCTGAGGAAATGATGCACTGTAAAAAGACAAAGAAACCAAGGCGTAAATGAGAGATCCCAAACCTATAGCAAGCCTACTTCAACAGGAGGGCACGGAGAATCAGTTCACACACAGCTCAATGCAGGACCAAGTCCCAAGTGACATGCTTGGCTTAGGTCTAGGTATGATCTGTGCCAGTGCTGAACTCTGGGCTGGAGAGCACCTAGGACTGTGCTCAGGTTAAGCCAAGTCTACTTTCCTCTGCTGGGAGTGGAAGAAACCAAGGAGGCAGCAAAAGTAATTTTGAGGTTAGGTACAGCAGAGAAACATTCAGCAGCAATGGCTCAAGCCACAGCAATCTCCCTAAAAAAAACCAGGAGAGTGTGAACTGCTGCCAAGTGATGAAGTAGGAAATAAAATACAAATACTACAAAATCCTCCTGAAGTAGCTCCCCTTATATCCAATACTAGCAAGTGCTCAAAAACAGAACATTAACTGATGCTTTGCAAAGGCTAAAAAGGGCATCCCAGGTCTAGATTTCAATGACCTTTACGACAGAAGCTAAAGGAGCATTAAAAGATTTTAAATTATTAGGTTAGCTGCAACATATTCACTCTGGATAGCTAAATTTCATGTTCTCATCAGAAACTCCCTGTTAAACACAAGAACTTCCAGCTCAAGCCAAACATCACTAAATACCATGTAATTGTATGGGGCTAATTACACAAGAATTGGCTTGGCTCGTTCCTGCCACTGACAGCTTTCTCCATGAGATGGTAATAACAGGACTGCAAAGCTCATCTGCTTTAGCATTTAGATAATTTTTCCACTTTCCACACATCTCAGCATATGACCAACAGACCAGCCAGTTTCACTTTCTGTTCAAAAAAAAAATTCTGGGCAATCACCAAGGCAGGGCAGGTTGGCTATGGGAAGCCGTGTGGAATTTCCACTGCAGTTTTTAAAAGAAAGGGTACAGAAACATTCTGCTCGGTACCACAAAAGCCAGTGTCCTCCTGCACAACCGTGAGGAAAAGCCACACTGCCAGGAAACATTCTGCTCGGTACCACAAAAGCTTCCCCAAGTGTCCTACTGCACAACCGTGAGGAAAAGCCACACTGCCAAGTATTTGATCTTCATCCCAGCTGGCTCAGCAAAGCTCCACTGACTTTCTCAAGAGGTAGAACAGTGGTCTTATTTTAACAGAGTCTCCAGCCCAGGAACCTCAGTGCTGAGAGAGCAGAGAAGCCAGGAGCTAGAACTCGTCGCTTTCTCTCCCACAGACACACGACTGTAACTGAGGTAGGAGAACATGTTACTTAAGTCAATGAGGTTACACAACTTTCAGCAAGTTTCTGTTCTGCTTGCACTGTGCTGTGTGAACAGAGACAAGTGTAGCTTCCTTCCCATCGGCAGCCCCACCACACACCTGGATTTCAGATCCATTTCAGACACTCTAAGGAATAAATATTTACCTTTTAGATCAACTTTTCAGCCTCTCAAGGATAAAGTCAGCTCTGCCAGGACTGGCTTAGAGGCAACCTAGATAAGAGATAATTTCCTTCCTCAGCATGAATCACTCCTCCGTTCTCTCTAATAGAGTCTCCTTCCACTAGAGAGGCAAGAGCTGCGAGCCAAAGGCTAGAATCAGTGGGAACAAGTTAAACCCAAATACGTACAACCACCTGGGCAGCTCCCCTCTGCCAACAGCACATGGAAGATCCTGCGTGAGCATCTGACTCCTTCCCACTATGTTTGAACACGATTACATTTTTTTTTTTAAGAAGGCAAACACCAGTTACAACATCATCAGAATGGTCTTTTTTAAAATGCAATCTCTTTCGAGGAAAAATCAAACTGGGTAATTTTCCAGCTGAAAGACAACTCCTGATTCTGCCACAGTAATACGAGCCAAGTCCTAAATCTGAGGACAGCGTCTTAAGTGCCAGGACACTGCAAAGACACAAGGGGTAAAAAGGTATTAACACAGAATTTGAGAATCCTTAAAAAAAAACAAAACAAAAAAACCCAAAAACAAAAGAGGCAGGAAGGTGAAGGCAGAAGAACAAGTCTGAAGCCAGATCACACCACACAACGGAGATTTCCTCACAGATCACCACCAGACAGCAGAGGTGCAGACCTCTGATCTCACCGTACGTAACATTTCTTACCTGCCCAGCCCTCCTCACTGCTCTAGGAAATCCCAGCAATCGCACTAACTGGGTCTGTACTAATCCACCAGGTGACCAATCCTCAATCCAAGCCACGTTTTCACTCCAGAATGTCGCAGCCAGCAAGACTAGAGAGGCCTTGCAGGAATTCCCACTAGTATCTAGTTTCAAGGGGCTCCAAAGTGGTCGCTTAAAAACCTCCACAGAAGAAAATCTGGCCTGTGGGTTGCTATCCCAGAAAGGGGCTGGGATTCAAGGGGGTAGAAGGAGCCTCCAACATGACTTGGGGTTTATTTAGCACGTGGCAGACAGCCAGATAAATTCCAGGTCGATGTTAGTGAAGAGATGCTGCAGGATTTCCAGCTCAGACTGCAGCTTTACAATGTACCAGCCCCTGGTAACAAAACTGGGCAGAGGTTTCTTTCCCAGCTCCTGTTCTGCAATCTGCCACTCTCCCAGCACAACTCTGAGGAGCTGTCTCGCAGATAATGGACATGTGGTAGAGGATGGCAGGATTCCTTATCCTGGGTTTACCACGGTGGCCAAACGCTCCATGGCCTCAAGCTCATGACTGGGTGACACAATAAGCCCTGAACCAGGTTCTGGACCGATGAAGTCTCCCACTTGTGTAGCAGATCCTATCACCTCTATTCTGAAGGAGGTGAGCTGAGACCCTCAACCATGACCTGTGCCTGCTGACTCTGTAGTCCCCAGCAGCTACTTCTAAAAACTGCCAAGAAAAGAAAAATATCAAACTTGAAGAGGACAACACCAGGGAGCAGAGACAGAGCCTGCCCACAATACTGTCCCAAGCAGTCCTCTGCATTCTCCAGCACCTCCACAGAAACTGTGCCCATGCTTCTCTGGCCACAGCAAGAGTCTCCAGAAGAGGGAAGAAGGTAGGAAGATGCAGAAGTGATGACAACCACTCTCCCAAGCTCCTAACAAAGGCTGTGCAAGCAGCTGCTGAAATCTATTAGGACTGATAAACTAAATACCTCCCTCTATTACACTGAAACCTAGAAAGCTGGTGGGCTTGCTCTGCCCTCTAAACCAAGAGGTGTTAACAGGACATCCTGCTAGGCTTTTTTTTTTCCCTTTTGTAAGGTTTTGGGGTTTTTTTTGCCCCTCTTTCAGATTACAGCTACACCACACACAGGTAACCTGCCCTGCCCCTGGAGCAGACACAGTGGGGCCTCTACAGCACCCAGGTACTGGGCGTAAACTTGGGCCATCAAATGGAACAGACTCTGAACTGCAAAGCCATTTACAAATGATGGATTTGGGATCACCCTCCCACCCCGTGGTTAAACACGCCCTCTCCTCAGACAGGAAAGGGCACAAATGTGCAAATTTGATTTTCCAAAGTGCTGAGTTCCTCCAAATGCCACCGAATTCAATAGCCCTCCAGATGGACAAGGATTAGGGGACTGGGTGGGGTGGTCATCAGCAATTCACGTCTCTCCAGAGGGCTGTGCAGATCTGGGAATAATCCCCGGCATGACACTTCCAGCCCTAAACAAACCCCTAGGAAATGCTACCTGGAAGACTCACTACTCTGAGCACTACTTTATCTTCACTATGGACAAACATTTGGCCACTGGGAAGTTTTCACTGTCTGCTTACAGGTCCCTTAACACCTCAACCTTGTAACATATGTTATTTCCCTGCTTGGCAGTCACCGAAAAGCCACCCACCATCACCAGGGTCAGAAGCAGCAGAGGCACTAAGGTCCTCTGCCCTGAGCATACCTCTTACTCCATCAGAATCACAACTTTGATCTTTACTGTAACAGATTTCTAACCTTCACAGTTACAAATAATAACTCAAAAGACCACAGGTAAACAAAAATCCTGAGAGCATCAAGCTTTGGAGACAACAGTCAAGAGCCATCAGCTGTTAAATGCATCACTAAGTAGGTGCTGATGTTCCCCAACTGCTATCCCAACACCAACAGGGCTCTGTTGGAGTTATCATCAGGCAACTTCACATACAAACTCCTCTGCCCTGGAGAGGAACACCAGCTGACACTGCAAGTCCAGGAGGAAGGAGATCCTGGTCCTAAAGGCAAGACTTACAAAGCATGCAGCCCAGAAACTAGCTCTTCTGCAAATGGCCTTTACCTGGGCATGGATTTTATTTCACCACTCGGCTTCAGTGACCTGCTGAAACTGCTGCCAGTGGCACCGTACCATTGCTTCAGACTCCACATCTCCAAGAAAACTCCAGGGACGTGCACAGTGCCCTTCTGAAGGGCTTGTCACCTGGCCAGCTCAGTGAGACTCTGCAGCACTTCACTTCCTAACCAAGTACAATCTGAACAGCTTATGTATCCACTGTGTAGACCTCTCCAAGACAAGACACCTTACACCTGTAGCGTTCATGGCTTCAAGGTGCTGTGCCACATCAACACACCCCTTCCATCTGCAAGACAAAGGTGATTTCCTTCGGTAATAGTGGGCAGATTCCAATTATTCTGCTTTTGCTTTACTTTGACTAAGTCCATGCAGCCATATCAGCACCAAAACAAAGATGAGGACCCAGGACTTCCAGGGTGCCAGTCCCGCGCTTTAGACCTTTATAAGGCACCGCATCCCAATACAACTGTTTTAACAGAATTAAAATAGACAAATTAAGTTACCAGTTGTTTCTTTGTAACATC